AAGAGGTTAACTCGGATCATTAATCATAACATAAATAATACCCAAATCAGAGGAGATATTTATTGCTATTTCTATGTAATTATTTACCTTGTTGTCTGTACTAACCGTTTTACCATAATAAAGAGATAAAATCTGAAAAATGAAAGAAAGAAAAATCAGAATTTGATAGTAGGGCTTGTCAAATTACTTTGTAATATTTTTTCCTAAACTGTTATGGTGGGGGTTTAAGGTTAACAATGAAATATATCGTTTATTATTTTAATATCTGAACTGAACTCATTAGTCTAATGCAAGAATTTGAAGACAAATATAACTAAAGAAATATATTTAAATATAACATCAATATAGCAGAGATAGTGTAAAAAAACAAAGCGATAAAAGGCACTCATTAAATAATTTAAAGTTGCCAAGAATATCTATAAATAGCCAACTAAAGCAAAATGTTCCTCCTTGTCCAGAAATACAAAAAACTAAATTGCTCTTTTGTTTGTCTTATGTCATAGACTTTGGTATGAAGCAATATTAAAAACTGGGTAAAACTCACTGTATGCTAATAGCCTCACCACCCACTAACTTTGCTTTCACTCATCATCTAATTATTTTAGATAATGATCATTTTCTGTTAGAATTATTCACATTGTCTTTACAAAAGAATACCTGACTACAGTTAAAGTTAAAAAATACACATTTTAGCCATAAAGACCTCTAACATATTTGTCAAGGATAATGTTTTTGTCCCCCTGCAGTCTGTGAGCGAATGAATGACAAGCCCTGTGATTTCAGCAGCACCAAAAGGACACCATGTCTTTCTTGGTAGGAAAACACAAACTGAAATGCATGCATTTTGCCAAACTGTGTCTGAATTGCATGTTTGTCTGACATGAAGATCAGGCTCATTATGGAATATCATGAAATATAGATTTAAATAGACATATATTTGTTATTTGGGGCAGTGGTGGCATAGTGGTTAAGGAAGTTGACTTGGGTTTAGAAGGTTGCAGGTTCGAATCAACCAGCTGCCAAGTTACCACTGAGGTGCTCTGAGCATGGCACCATCCCCACACAGTGTTCACTTTGGTGATGGGTTAAATGCAGAGGTCATATTTTGTTGTGTGCAGTGGTGTGTGTCACAATGACAAGGAGTTTCCTTTCCTTCCTTTCCTTTTCATATAACCTGCCTATCTGCCTGTTTAACCACCTTTAGCTAAACTGGCAGACAAAAATGTACCTGTCCCTTGGCCTAAAACATAGCTATCTATCTATATATATATATATATATATATATATATATATATTTAGATAGCCATCGTACACCAAGACCAGCACACCATCTTGATTCTGCCTCCCTACAGCACCTCTCATCACCTGCATGTTCCTGTATCGTCCTCCTCCTCCTTCTGTGCTTCGTGTTTCCTCCACCCTTTGTCCTGCAGGGGCATATCTCACCAATGCTCCTCCCTCCCCTCCCTTTACCAGGACTGTTCCTGTATCTCCCACGCTCAAGTCCAGCCCATGGACATTGAGGAACACTATGAAGACACCAGCCACCACTTTCTGGTCAGTAAATACCAATTCTTAGTTAGTAAACACAAAACAGTTCCTGGTCATTCTCCCCCCAACCCCGATGCTTTCCGTATGCAGAGAGTGGTCACACTGATGCTCTTGCATCATCCTGTCCTTTTTCATGAACCATTGACCATTATTACAATGGAAGTGACCGACAATCCTTAAAATCTTTTAAGGTCCAAGTTTGGATGAGTGACTTCATCTAAATCTTGCCTGCAACTCTATGGTACCATATAGTTTGGAATTTTATCTTGCTGTACTTTTTATTCACTGAAGCCTTAAATGTAATCTACCATAAAACTACAGTAAAGAGCCACAGGAGGTCAAAAAGAACAGTTCACATATTTTAAATAATAATTCCAAACACAATTTTTAAAATGCACTTCAATATTAATAATTATAATAACATTTTGTGTCCCTGTTTTTGTCCACTTAGAGTTTTGACAGTTCTCAATCCACTCTCCATGGCACAGGGGGTGCAGATGACCTGGCTGCTCTGACGGCTGAGTCAACTCACTACCAGCTTCTTTCTGAACTGGGTGAGGAACAACAGAGCCCTCAGACAAACAGTCAGGATCTTTACCATGAACAGGTGTCAGAATCATCATCATGTGTGTTCCAGGGAGAGGCTTCAACAACCTGAGTCTGGTCAGTATGGCCCGCCACCGACCCACAGGTCAGCTGGTTGCCATCAAGCAGACCAACCTGGATGAGTGCACTGAGGAGGAGCTGCTGCAACTCATGGTTAGAACCTTGTGTCATCAACTTGACCTGTTTCGCTTTGGTGTCAGGTTTATGTTTTAGCCAAAACATGTGATTCGTCGGTTGAAATCCACTTACCCACCACAAACCACAATGTCTAGAACCAGATCAGATGTAGTCTTTTATTTATGAGCTAATGCCACTTTTCTCATTTTGTCCTTTGTCTTTGTGTCTCCAGAACGAGGTTCTACTCTCCAGGTTTTTCCGCCACCCTAACCTTTTAACCTCTCGCCTGGTCTTCAGCTCCTGCTGCCAGCTGTGGGTCCTGACGCCGCTCATGTCCTACGGTCTGCAGTTGCAGGACACACAGTCTTTGACATTCTTTTATGATGAATAAATTGAGGTGATTTGATTTGATTGTACTTGTGGCTACCAGGCTCTGCTGACATGTTACTGAGGACCTACTTTCGTGATGGAATGAGTGAATCCTTGATTGCTTACTTGCTGTACGGTGTGCTGAAAGCACTGGAATATCTGCATCGTATGGGCTACGTTCACCGGTTAGTGTCAATCAAAGGTCACATCGCCATCTCAAAAACAATAAACCTATTTCAATAATCATCATATTTTTGTTTTGGCAGAGGGGTGAAGGCCAGCCATATTCTGCTGTCAGGAGAGGGGCGTGTCTACCTCTCAGGGCTCCACAGTGTTTATAGCATGATGCGTGAGGGGAAGAGGATGAGGGTGGTGTTTGACATGCCCCACCACAGCCCCGCCCTGCTGCCCTGGCTCAGCCCTGAACTACTGCGACAGGTCAGGACTCACACTCACACAATGTGGCCAAAACCTCCAAAAACTCTAACACACAAAATATTGACTGTCCTTCTTCGTCCACAGGATCTTCATGGATACGGTGTAAAGTCAGACATCTACAGTTTAGGTATTGTAGCATGTGAACTGGTCAGTGGAAGAGTTCCTTTCCAGGACATGCTTCCTACTCAGGTAATTTAAAGACATCTGAACAGTAGGATTCAGAGGACATTAGTCTGATTCCACTCTAACCTGCCTGTTCCTGCTCAGATGCTGCTACAGAAACTGCGAGGTTCTCACTGCTGCCTGCTGGACGTCGCTCCGTTTCCTCTGAGTGAGCTGGGTGGCCTGAAGATCTCTCGCTCCGGAGTGGATTCAGGCATCGGGGAGAGTGTGGCCACAGGGAGTCTGACCCACAGCGCCACAGCTCCACCCACTGACCGACCTCAGAGCCCAGGACCCAAAAACCACTCGGCGACATTACACAACCTGGTGCAGCAGTGTTTGCAGCAGCAGCCAGAGCAAAGGTCAGGACATGGGTCAGGTCAGGGTCAGAGAAAAGGCCAGAAAGACCAACTATGAAAACAGAAAGGAAGCAGTTACTGTCATAGTTGAGTTCCCATTACTATCATCCTTAATTGAATACTTACACTGGACTACCACCAGGTGGAGATTATCCTAATTTCAGATACAGTATGTACATATTACTGATTTACCTATTACAGTCATTCTTCAGTTGTATTAACCTAAGGTCAGTATTTAAAAAAAAACATCCAACATAATCCATCAAATTAAAACAAAACTTTGTGTTTTCTCCTCACAGACCTTCAGCATCTGCATTGTTGAGCCACGCCTTCTTCAAACAGGTGGGTGTGTTTATCATCATCTCCAGCTGTTTGTTGTTTTACATGCAGTTTTACATACATCAATAAAAGTGAAGATAAAATAAATACAAATAAGATTAAAATATAGAGATAAATAAAAATGAACTTTTCTGTATAGTGAACACAAACAGAGCTTTTATACCATTAGAACATCTCAATTGAAATATATACAGTATACGTTTATATATATATAGTTTTATATATATATATATATATATATATATATATATATACACTACATACATACTGTGCTATGTTTGTGTTGCCAGGTGAAGAGACACACCTTTGACTCCTTCCTCAGCCTCATGTACCCAGCTGTGCTCCTCACAAGCCCTGCCCACTACGACTCTGAGCCCCCTGTGGCTTGTGCCCCTGCTGCGTCCTGCCATGCCCCGACATCGACTGTAGGAGGTGCTCCTGAGGCAGTATGGGATTTCTCCTAACAGGAGGACACTACTATAGACAATTCTAACGAAGCAATCAAGCCACATTCTACTGTGCTACTTTATTTTTTTGTTTTGACATTTTTTATTCTTTATAAACCAAACTCTCTGAGCCTTTTTTATGTTTATATTTTTTTAAACTTGTGACATAATGTGGTTGTTTCTGTAAGAAGACTGTGAAAGTCCTGGATCAAAGAAGCTGCTCTGAGAACCGAAATACAACAGCTATCCAAATAATGATTCTTACAATAAGGCAAAGGGATTTAAAGGGAACGTTCACTTGTCATTGGTTTTTCCCCATATGGCAACATAAAACTCTGTGTGGTAAAAGCCTCTGGGAATCAGAGGAGTTTTAATGATGGTTTATTTATCAACTGACTGTGAAGAATGAAAACTGTGCTTCATACAAACATCAGCACTGAAGGTCACGACCTTCTGCTCATAGTCCTAATCAACAGCGTCTCATTTTTCTCTTCTCTGATCTTTAATGTTTAAATATGTAATCTCTCCTAAAAACGAAAGCTTATATAAAGGAAAAAAGATATGTATATATATACATATATATATGTATATATATATATATATACATATATATATATATATATTAAGCGGGGACAATGTCATAACATTTTTGACTTATATTGAATTTAATCTCAAAATGCTGAATTGATAAATCAAGTGAATTGACTGTAATTCCCATAATTTCAAATTTAAAGACTAACATCTAGATTAAGATTTTAGTCTTTTGATGCAGACTTGATGCAGATATTTGTTTTCTCTCTCATTTGCACTTTTATATTCTATTAATCCTAATTATATCTTAAAAGTATCTTTTTTTTTTTTTACATATTTTGCATTTTGGATAACACATGCTTTAATGACATTTGTCTTCGGACATGTGAATATAAGAACTCAAACCTTCAAAGAGGACGTAAACGTGATGTAACCTTAAGTCTGATCATGTGACCCAGTGTCAGAGAGGACTGATTCTGCTTTTGGGGAAAAGTAAAAACTGCAGTGTGTGAAAAATGTAAAACAAAAATGTGTTCAAAGTATAAAAGAGTAAATCAGTGTATTGTAAAAACAGATGCCTGACGTTAACATAAACTTTACTGTGTTTTTACCTCATTATATTTTTAAGTTTTGAGCCACGAGGAACAGAGGATCAGAGAAATTCATGTGTTTTTTTTATTTGATTTGAATATTTAGTACTGTGTTAAAGTGAAACCTTGCACAGCCTCATATACTGTATTATCATATTCTCCTGTTTGTCTAGAGTCTCTAAATAAACATGGTATTTACAAACTCTTACCATCTTATCTCACAAAGTTGTTAATAATTTATTTCTGGTTCTGTTAATATTTTTGCACTGTTGTACCAGTAAATAGTTCATTGTTTCTACATTTGCACTTGACTTTGGAGAGAGTTTGAAATGTTGTAGAAAGAAGAAAATGAGAATTTCCAGGTGGAACAAAAAGAGTGGGTCATACTGGTGATAATTTCTTGTTACTTAACAGATGTTGGGTTTTTTTTACCAACCTTATAATGACAAGATGAAGCAGCTATCCTCCAATGCCTGAATTTTAAAGCAGTCACAATGTGGAACTTCTAAATGATGCTTTTCAAAATCTTATTAGGTTTCAGCTCAAACAGTAAAGTTTGTCTGGCCCAGTGTTGTGGTTCATTCTTACATCATTTGGCTGACATGGACATCAAACTTTGAATTCATATTTTATCTATTTTCAATTGTTTGTGTTACCCTCAATAACCACTAGGGGTCACTTGGCTTAATGTTGGTGGCTATAAAAGACTAGAGACTACTATTTTAAATGTCATAGCCCAAATTGCTTAGGTTGATTGTAATTTTTGTTGTGCCCTGTTGGCTGTGCTTTGGCCCTGACTGTGATAACTGTTAAGCTTTAGCTATTAAAAATGTAATGGCTAGCATCATAACGTAAACTGTCTCGCCATCCTTGGACTAAATTAGTATATTTCATTGTCATATTTTTCTCTGTGTGATAAAATCAGAAGATTGTTTTCATCGTTTCTGATTAAGGGGTCCTCTTCCAAAACTCAGATTAGATGATGTAGATCCTACATCGGACAGATCTTGATGCTGTCTGAGCTGGACGTGAATTGTCCCAGAGCGAAATCGAGGCCCACTCCCACTCCACTGCCAACACCGAAAGCAGCATACACTGGCTGTGTGAAGTTAGCACGGAAGGTGTGAAGGTGCGTCATGTTCTCAGCTACGCTGTAGAACGCCAGTGTTCCTGCATTCAGGTCCAGGTAGACACCCAGCCGGGGGGAATATGTGACTGGGATGTCCTTCTTCTGGTTATCGTGCATGGCGGAGCAGCAAGTGTCGGACAGCTCCAGGGTCCAGGACTGGCAGTTGTATCCAAGTCCTGATCTGGCATCTGACCCTTTCCTGCACAGCGCACCATAAGCCAGACCCATTGAGGAGCCCCGCCCCCTCCACTCCACCTCCCAGTAGCAGCGCTGGGCACTGAGTGGATTCTGGCACATTACCTGCATCCAGCCATCAAATCGCTGTGGGGTATCTGGATATAGCTGCACTGCCCCCTGCAAGGTTGCCTTGGTGTTGCCCTCAGAAAGAATCAGTCGTCTGTGGGCAGTGTTTGGGTCCAGGGTCAAGATCACAGAGTCTGGAAACAGAGTTCCCTGATTAGTTTGCGACTGCATGACAGTAAAGATGACAGGAAAAAACACTTTTGCACCTTTAAATCTTCATTAAAACAAGTGTACTTACAGATCTGGTCCCACAGTTTTAGTAACTATAGTAGTCACTTTCACCGTTGAACACCCTTTACCTTAGATGAATTTGAAGGATCTACATGCTAACTAACCCTGCCAGTTAATTCACCAGGTCATTCAATTAGGTTTAAGCTGACTAGCTTTGACCAGATAGCATTTACTAGAACACCGAATTATTATAAAATGACTACTTTTCTCAGAAGATAAAAGATCAACTTCAAGTTCAAAATATTTTCTGAGAAAACTCAAATCAAGCTAGCTCACCTACTTGGCTTGGGTCACATGGAATTTTACAGATATTTTGCTGATGCTAGCTAGGAATGGTCCATTAAATCTAGATCATTCTACCAAAACATGTTAAGCTATTACTTCAACATCTTCTTGAGTTAGCTAACTACAACAGCTAACATGGTCTATTCTATTCTGGGCATTGGTGTTTCTGGCTGGTTCAAGTCAGTTTGCTTTGTGAGCTCGTTAGCTATACCAGAAACCCTTTGTTTTTTGCTCAAAGATTGCAGTTATCGGTCTTTAGTGGTGTAATTTTATTGATGTTAATATACTCACACTGCAGGAACTCCTCTCTGGTTCTCGGCTCGGGGGCCTGGATGCTATTGATGTTGATTTCTCTCACTGAAAGATAATAAAATTCCAGTTAGTAAATTAAACTAAATTTGTATGATAAAAAAATAAATGTGCTGCAACTCACAGGCAGGAAATGCAGGAGTTTGATTATTGATGTCAGGGCTTGGTGAGTCCAAGAAAAGCCCAGGGTTTACTGTCCAGAAGAGAATTGTTTGACACATGTTCAACATTAACAGGGTGTTACTTTAAATATCTGTTATTGTACCTTCAGTTTGTGCCTCAGGTAGAGTTTCCAACCCTACAGGACAGAAATAAAGCAGTTCAACATCAGAAAACTCAGAAGAATCATTTCTTTAAAAAGAAAAAAGAAAAAAGCCAAAGAGTTGACTTACATGGGTTTCCTCCTACTGGCGCTTCATTCAAGGATGTGCCAATGGGAGTGGCCGCAGTGGCTCCTCTTCGAGCTGATCGGAAAATGCTGCTGATGGACGCCATCCGACTGAAACCTGACACCAGAAGAATTTGGTTAGAACATTACAGCTGCAGTGTCCAGGTTCTGCCATGTGGTGGCAAAAGAACGTTCAGTAACCACAGGTTGGAATCTACCTCCACCTGATGCTGGAGCTGGCTGTGGAGTCTGTGATGGAGAAGAGTTGATCTGGTTCTGACTGGATCTGCTCCACAAAGACCGAGACTCTCTTCTGCTTGGAGTAGGACTAGGTTGGTTCTGATTCTCGTTGGGGTTTGGAATCTGGTTCTGACTGGCCCTGCTCCACAGTGAACGAGACTCTCTACGACTGGGAGTGGGACTAGGCTCCTGACTCTGATTCTGGTTTTGAACCTGGATCTGGTTCTGGCTGGACCTATTCCACAGAGACTGGGACTCCTCGCGGCTAGGAGTAGGACTGGATCTGAAGTTCACGTCTCTCCCTGAACACACGCAGCTAAGAGTTAGCCATTGTTAGAGCTAAACTGTTATTAGGTATAACCTTCAAATGACAAAACAAAATTGATAAGACTGTTAAATTCACTGTTGAATTTAGCACAAAAAAAGCAACAAAAAAAAGCAAAACCAATGTAAAATTATATAACAATAACATATCTAGCATTTACAACTAAACAACTTTACTGAAGCTGAATAAATGTTTAAATAACATGTTTTTCAAGAAAAAAAAAACTGTATTAAGGGAAGAAAGAAATCAAATTAAATGTTAAATTTGTGATGTCTTTTTATACCAGAGGGGGCAGCAGAGTCTCTGTGCGTTACTCCACGTCTGGGAGAATCATTGTTTCCTCGATCTGTGTCCAACAAAAGGAAGAAAAGAAAGATTTAAAGAAATATAATTTAACTTTATCCACTTATTTCTTCTTCAGCCATAAAAAATAATAAACCAGAAAAAACATACATATATAGATTTATAAACATTAAATATAATACATACTTTGCAGAAAGTATAGGTACAATTCACTGAGAACAAACAATAATGTGTAAAATCTTTTATACAGAACATATTTCCATGTGGATGTTAAGTTGACCTCTGACCTCTAGGTGTCTCTCTGCTTCTCACGTCCAGACTTTTGACACCTGCAGCTGCATAAGAGCAAAGATTTGATATAGAAACAAAAGACAAAATTGATAAAATGCTCAAAGCACTACAACAAACCCATTTTTACACTGTAGAAAATTCATAATGATTATTTTATTGCTTATTTAATGAATTCAGACATGGATTTATAAATGTTTTACTCACAGACTGTTCGAGGGCTCGAGCTGCGAGACCCCAGACCTGAAAACACTGCAGCAAAAAGACATTTACAGATAATTACAGAGAGCCGCTTCTGCCAGAAGGGGGCAGCCATGTGTAAGAACTTTTGACGATGAAAATAAATCGATCTATGAGAATTTTTTTTTAAAATAATATTTCAGAATATCAAGGTTGTCAATTGTTTTCAACTCTTACATTTACTGATTCCTGTTTTGGTTCCTGATCCACGATTGGCTGTAAGAGGAGAAGAAAATACTTAATACAAATATATATATATAATAAAAAAGAAAATTTAAAAAGATAAAAGAAACAGAAACTCACTGTTCATCAGAGTGAAGAGAGTTGTGTTGTGGACTGTAAGAAAAATTGAAAAAAAAAGAAAGAAGATATTGTCAGTCAGATTGGAGAAAAAACAACAACACTATATCAAACCAGACTGTAGACTAGAATACTGTTCAGAATAACTTCTAGAGTCCTGACTATGGTTCAGATCAGACTCCAGACTAAGGTCCCAAGTCCAGACTGTGGCCATCACCTTGTTTGGTGATCTTGTCCAGCTCCAGGTTACATAGATCCTCCACTCTCTCCCTCAGGTCCAGGACAGACTCTCGCACAGGTTCAAATGAAGCTTCTTGATTCACAACCACAGGGGGGAGCTCTCCAGACTCCAAAGGAGAACACATGGACTCGTACGCCTGAGGAACACAAATACAACCATCTCCTGTATCGTCATCACGTCAATCATTCATATGGTCATGAGAACCGTACATACAGTCTTCAGTTCAGGCTGACCTGCAGGTAGTAGATGTGGTCTTCACAGCGGACCAGATCCTTCATCTCCACCTCCCTCTTCTTCAGCTCCCTGATCTCGGCCTCCAGACTCTCAGTCACCTCTTGAGCCTGAGCCATTTTCTCCTCGCCAACCTTTTCCAGAACCTGCTCTAAAAGCTCCTGTAGACGCTTGACAGAGTGCTGCAGCTCTGTTAGTGCCCCCTCCAGGTCGTCATGGACCTGGTCTGTGGAACGCTATGGTGAAAGAGACACACACACACCCACACACACACAGACAGTGAAGCCAAACCTAACTATTTGGACTCAATTAAAATCATGTAAAAATCAGTAAAACTGTGAAATTGTGTGCGTATTACATTTAGAATTCATTAAATTTTTGAACCGTGTGAGAGTGAAACGTGAAATGGATTTACTGTGAGTGTGGACACATTGATTATATTAGTTATTCATGGTTTAACTGCTGATCATTAGGTCACCAACCATCATCCAATCCATCATCTTCTTCATTTCCTTCAGCTCCTGCTCTCGGTCTTTTAGTCTCTGCTGATTCTTCATCTGCAGCTCAGACACTACTTTCTACACACACAAAAATAAACACACACACGTCATGCAGGGTGGGGTTTAATGCTGATGAAGGCAGGAATGTTGACAGACATGTCGTTTCTCCAGCTTCCTCCACGTCAGTGCCTTTGAAACAGGGCTGCTTCTACAGAACACGGGGCCCTAGGCCAGAGTAGACCATCGGGCCTGAAAAGAAGGCCAATACTGAGGAGAAGACTTAAACTGACTGCTTTTGGCTTTGGTTCAGACTTTCTGGACCAACTGCAGCTCATCTTTCTAAACTATGAGGTTATTCTGTGCTCCGTCCTCATTGTGTTACAGGTGTTGTTTAGCTTCAGGCTAATCTTTTAGTATTTCTGTTGACAATATTGATACTGTAAACTACTGTAAGACTTCTTCATGAATGGCCATTTGAATTCTTTTTTAGTGACATCTAATTATCACGTCTTCATTGATTATATATTTACATTTTTATGCCTTAAGCAAACCTGTAGACTTTAGATGATTTATTAAAACCTTTTCAGGTATATCTGTTTAGGTGAGACTAACTTTTTGACTTTGAGTCCATCAGCAGCTGAACATTTAGCTAAGTCCTTAACTTTGTTTTAATCCAAATTCATTACTGCTGTGTGTAGCTTAGTTTTGTCTGCTTTGTTTTAAACTTCTGTTCACTCAACCTTTCTAGACCATCAGTCATCTGTTGTTGTATGATTTTACTTCTACTTCAACTGTTTCTATCTTGTTATAATATAACTGAACTAAACACCTGTTCGTTTGAACTCAAGGTTACTGTATTCAGTTGAACTGTAGCCATCATGGCTGGTCTCACCTGCTTCTCCATCCGCTCTGCCTTAGTGGACACACACTCGTGGCCTTTGTGCAGGTTACTGGTGCAGAGCCAGCAGATGAACATCTTGCATTGGCGACAGAAGAACTCCTGCAGATACTTGTGTTGGGTGCAGATTTTCTCAGCCAAGTTCCAAGTAGGTGCAATCAGCTCATGTTGCTTCAGCGACTTCTTGGTCTGGTGTGGTTTAAGGTGGGTTTCACAGTAGGAGCTCATGCAGACCAGGCAGCTCTTCACCGCCACTCGCTGCTCTCCTTTACACAGGTCACAGGGAACCTGTGAGGAGTTCAGCTTCCCTCTGGACTTGGAAGACATGGTAGACATGGTAGATCCTCGACGAGTCTGTTCGGATTTCCGGAGCTGCTCCACAGCTTCTGCCAGCATGGTGTTTCTAGACAAGTTGGGTTTAGGGCAGAAGGTCTGGCGGCACTGGGGGCAGCTGTAGATGCCTTTGGGGTCGTCTTTGCTCCAGTAGTCCTTGATGCAGCCCATGCAGTAGCTGTGACCGCAGGGGATGGTGACAGGGTCGTTGGGGAGGTCAAGGCACACGGGGCAGTTGAACTGCTCCTCTGTCCAGAGTTTTCCACTCATGGTCTCGGGGTAAAAAAAACTTGAGAGACGTTTGTTAGAACCGCAGAGAGAGAAGCTCTGAGGCTACAGCTAAAATCCCAGGTGAGAAAAGGAAGAAGTAAATGTGGGCGGAGTCACAGCCACCAGGCAGGTCAAGCTAGAAGAACAAGTGCTAGATTCAATGAAGGTGTGAAGAGAAAGGATCAGAGATTGGAGGAGGTGGAGTCACATGATGATGACAGAGGTTCAATCAGTGTCAGCTGACAACGGATCAGAGAGAAACCTGCAGAGCTTCTTTCTTCTCTTTCTTCCACAGATGTTTGGAAGAAGAGACTTGGCCAAAGCTTGTTTGAATTGATGGTTAAACATTTATTTTCACAGACTGTTGCCTTATTTCATTTTTACTCACGTCTAGGCTATGTGTTATTCGTACAGTTTATACACTTTATTATACAATTGATTGCAATTTTTTGATCACTGTATTTTCTCCAGGTGGATTTTTAAAAACTATTTGTGATATTTGTGCTCAGCGTTTTAGATTTATATATGGCTTAAAGTTTAGCTTATTTTTTCTCCTTTTTTAATAATATTTGACCACGTGTAATATTTCACCTTAATCCTAATTTCTTTCTTAATTTGTGTCTAACATACTGCTATATCTTAGCACCTACCAAATAATTTATTAAATAATTTTAATAATTTAGCTACAATGTAAGGAATTAGATCTAATCTATTCACCATTTTCTTTCAAATGAGCACATTTACTTTGTTTTGTTTTTTTGAAAAGAAAAAATCTGATTTTTTTTCCTGGTCCATCACGAGTCTCCTTTTCTGGGAGAACCAGAAACCTTACATTCTCAGTGTCTGAGTCTTTAGGGTCATCAGGAAACACTGAGAAAACCCTCATTACACTGATAGATCTGTCATAATGTTTACAGAGACGCAGTTGTTTCTCACAGATGAGTCGGACAGCGGTGACTTATGTGATGTCAGAGTAAAAAGCTTTCATTTGTCATTAACTTTTGACTTTTGCTACATTACCATTACCTGCTGTTCCCTAAATATCCATTGAGTGTATGTGTGTGTGTAATGGATGTTCAAGGCCATCACTTTGCTCTAATGGCTTTTTATTTACCTGTCTGTGAGCAGAGACTCCTCAGTCTGCTCCATTAGAAAATAAAAAAAGCTCTTCAGATGTTCGTGACGTTCCTGACTTGTGAGTGACACGAACCGCCAACTCTATTTTATCATCTTCATCCTCTCTTCATCATCCCTCCTGTTGAAGCCATATTTCCTATGAAATGAAGAGAAAAAGATGATGAATAAAGCCATAAAGACACTTGGCAAGAAGTGCTCAGTGAATTTCTATAACGAGTGTCTTCACTCAGTATACAGTATATTTTTATTTAAAAAAACATTCTAAAATTCACAAAAACAAATCTTTAAGAAGAAAGAACCTACAATATGGTAGGGAATTAAGACACTAACCAGAAACCCTTTCTGATTTCTGAAACATATACGCCCAAGAATCAATACAGTGATTCTGATAAGGTCTAAGAAAATACTCTCAATGGACTTAAACAAAATGGGAGAAAAAATCTTCCAGTAGACAGAGAATCTGGAATGACACAAGGTTTGAATGAGATGATGAATGCTAACACAAAGCCAACAGAGGCTACTGTAAAATAGCATCACATTAGCCATTGAATGAGCTGGAATGTGTAGAATAAACAACAAAGGATTGTGGTCAGATAAAGAAGAAGTTCTAAAGAGTGACGAAGACAGAGGTCTGACTGGAGGACATCTGCTGTTGGAGGAATCTACAGTAGCTGTGGTCTAAGTGACGCTGGAGACATAAAGAGCAGCAACAGGTATGCATGTGTGTGTGACGTTTCTCTGCCTGATGACGACATGACACTCCGGTGTTAATCTTTTGACATTTTAGATCCTAAAAAAACACCTGGAAAAATATGGAGCTGAAGCTTCAGGTCCGGATCAGGTTTACAAGTTTGATGATGATGACAATTGTGGAAATGTGACAAAAGTCAAAAGAACAGACAATATTAAATACAGAAATTATTTTTATCTAATACTTCAAACAAATAATTAATAATTAAATATTTTTTATTAAGAAAAGTTGTGGTTTGTATCTGTTTAATTGAAGAAATGTTGGACGTTGGTGATGACGCTGTTCTCTAGTCGGTGTGTGTACGCGTGTGCGTATGTGGCTCTGTGTGTCCTTGGCCGACAGAATATAAAATGGGACAATACTTCACAGCCACAGCAGAAGAGGAAACAACAAATTCTACATCAGAATTTTAGACCAAAAGAAGAAAACAGAACAACAAGGAAGACGTGGTGAGAACTCAGATTATACTTTTTATATTCAAACTATTTGTTTGTATTAATTTAAATTAACTTTTGTAATAGCATTTTAAATTTAGAAAATGTAATTTAGAAAATGTATTTTACTTAATCTAAAAAAAAAACCTAAAAAATAATTCAACATAAATTTCTTTAAAACATCAGTAAAAATAAAATAGAAAGATTTTATTTTTGATTGAAAAGAAATGTTTAACTGGTTCTCTAAAATAATTGTTACAAGATGTTTAACATTTCAAACCTTTAGTACTGAACTGCATTTATAACTGCATATTCAAGTTTTAAATTCATGTTTTCATTTATTTATCTAAATAGATAAACAATATATTATAGATATATTTGAATGGTGGCGCTTTGGCCCAGAGACAATGTCTCTGTCATCAGTGTGGAACCCCAGGGTTCACCTCCTGGGAAAGTTCGAATCCCGGTTAGGGCGGTTGGTACCTTCCAGTGGACTCACCACCCGCAGGAAGGTTTAGGGGGGGTTGGTACGGTGCAATGTGATCTGGGTGGAGACTGCTGCCCCCGCGACCCGGTAACGGATAAGTGGATGAAAATGGATGGATGGATGGATATATTTGAATGTAAAACATGTAAATTCATTAGAAAAAACGTAAAGCTTTTCTATTAAAACCAGAAGACTGCTGATTGTCTGCATGTTCCCACTGTGTGTGCATGGGTTTTCTTTAGGAACTTGGATTTACTCCATAAAAACATTATTAGGTGAATTATTCCTAATTAAATTGACCATAGACAGAGTGTGTGAAAAAAAGTGTGTGTGAATTTGAAGTCACTCTTTTTTCAGTATTTTTTATCAATACTTAAAAAAACTATTAACAGGGTTAGGGTTAGGGTTTGTTTAAGAACACATGTGGAATATTTTTTAGTTTTATGACTAATGATGACAAATTAGCTTACCTAAAAAAACACAAATTAAAAATTGACATTTCAAATTAGTGGGAATTTTATGGAGGAGCTGATGATGTCACACTGAGGTTTTACTTATGAATTAAATGATGTTTTTTTGATAAACCAATTTCATTCATTTTTACTTTCTACTTCTCATCAGGAATATTTTATGATAGCAATGAATATGACTGATGAATGTACAACAATCAGATTATATTTGTCATTCTATGTGTGTGTGTGTGTTCTGGTGTCTAAATACAGGACAGGAAAATGGGTCCTCTGTGGCTATTGGTGGCTGTGGGGGTTATGGGCGTGGCCGGAGGAGCTGCCAGTCAGTGCTGGGATCCCAGTTGTTTACAGGTCGACTCCAAGAGCAGTGCCATGGTAACATATGCAAACACGCACACACACACACACACACTGTAACAACATCAATGTTCTTTCTGGTAATTATTAGTAGTTCCTTATAAACAAAACAAAGTTAATCACAAGTTAGAGGAAAAAAATTACTCCAGTGTTTTGAGGTTCATAAAAACTTGACTTTTGTATTGTTAGTATTCTTAGTTCTTGTGTGTCACCTAAACACTCCTGTAGGGCTGTCTCCACCTCTGTCTCACCGACCTCCATGCTGAAACTCCTGTCCTTCCTGGTGACGCCCACCTCCAACCACCCACTCTGTCAGACTCCACCTCTTCCTCCGCTTCCCAGACCAAGCGCTCCTACTCCATGGAGCACTTTCGCTGGGGGAAACCTGTTGGCCGGAAGCGCCGCCCCATCAAAGTCTACACAGCAAATGGTGGGGAGAACGAGTCAGCTGATGTTTTCCCAGAAGAGATGAGAAGACGGGAATTAGCCAATGAGCTGCTTGTGGCAGAGGAGGAGGCAGACAAGGAGATGAAAGCAGCAGGGGAGGAGGATGACGAGCATCTCTCAGATGAAGTCCAAGACCAAAAGGATGCCACTTACAAGATGAGACACTTCCGGTGGGGCGGGTTGCCTTCCAACAAACGCTACGGAGGCTTCATGAAGAGCTGGGATGAACATGGACATCAGAGGCCACTACTTACACTCCTCAAGAACATCATCAACAAGGAAGGACAGCAGCAGAAGCGGAGTGGCTGAGCTTAGCCTTTTAAGAGATCTGACTGGTCAGAGAGGGCAGCGGAACTGTTTCCTGAAACTGAATGGGAGACAAAGTTTTGATATTAAATGATTTATGTAAATAAATGTAAAGGAATAAAAATCAATAAACATTTACAAGCAATTTAGGAGACTTCTTTGACTGTTTCACAACAAGCAAACAATGTCATCAACAATAATAAAAAAACAGTCTCACCTCTGTTCTTGATCTCCTTTAAAAGGCTGATGTTCCAGCTGCAGTACCAAATTAGCCAGCAGGGGCTAATCAATGTTCTTTCTGGTAATTATTAGTAGTTCCTTATAAACAAAACAAAGTTAATCACAAGTTAGAGGAAAAAAATTACTCCAGTGTTTTGAGGTTCATAAAAACTTGACTTTTGTATTGTTAGTATTCTTAGTTCTTGTGTGTCACCTAAACACTCCTGTAGGGCTGTCTCCACCTCTGTCTCACCGACCTCCATGCTGAAACTCCTGTCCTTCCTGGTGACGCCCACCTCCAACCACCCACTCTGTCAGACTCCACCTCTTCCTCCGCTTCCCAGACCAAGCGCTCCTACTCCATGGAGCACTTTCGCTGGGGGAAACCTGTTGGCCGGAAGCGCCGCCCCATCAAAGTCTACACAGCAAATGGTGGGGAGAACGAGTCAGCTGATGTTTTCCCAGAAGAGATGAGAAGACGGGAATTAGCCAATGAGCTGCTTGTGGCAGAGGAGGAGGCAGACAAGGAGATGAAAGCAGCAGGGGAGGAGGATGACGAGCATCTCTCAGATGAAGTCCAAGACCAAAAGGATGCCACTTACAAGATGAGACACTTCCGGTGGGGCGGGTTGCCTTCCAACAAACGCTACGGAGGCTTCATGAAGAGCTGGGATGAACATGGACATCAGAGGCCACTACTTACACTCCTCAAGAACATCATCAACAAGGAAGGACAGCAGCAGAAGCGGAGTGGCTGAGCTTAGCCTTTTAAGAGATCTGACTGGTCAGAGAGGGCAGCGGAACTGTTTCCTGAAACTGAATGGGAGACAAAGTTTTGATATTAAATGATTTATGTAAATAAATGTAAAGGAATAAAAATCAATAAACATTTACAAGCAATTTAGGAGACTTCTTTGACTGTTTCACAACAAGCAAACAATGTCATCAACAATAATAAAAAAACAGTCTCACCTCTGTTCTTGATCTCCTTTAAAAGGCTGATGTTCCAGCTGCAGTACCAAATTAGCCAGCAGGGGCTAAGTTTCAAAGACACTGAATTAAAGACTACACTCTTTTCTTCAAGAATTATTCAATAAAGCTTTATGAGGTCATCACCCTATCTCACTCCTAACTGCAGAATGTGGGCTGAAAATATAGCAAAAACCACTAAGATGTCAAAAAATAAACAATAGGTGTACAAATAATCAAGTAGAAAATGTAACAAAACCAATAATTCTGCCAAAGTTAGCCAATGAATGCATTAAAGAAACAAAGGCTGTTAAATTACTGATTTGTAGTTGGCCTTTTCTACATGTTACAAGTTAATAAGAAGCCTCTACTCTGGGTTTAATTTTTAATTGATGTAAAGGTAGGTTTTCAGTGCAATTCAACCGAGGTGATAAAACCGAAATAAAAAACACCGGTACTCAATTTAACAAAGTTTTAAAAAAGTACAATGCTCTGAAGGAGAGTTCACTTCACTTCAATTGTCATTTGGTGCCAGTACAATCAACCTAAATCTGTCTTTCATCCTTTACACACAGATCTGCCCACACACAGTTCTCCCAGCTGTGCTTCAAACTCTTTCAGCTAACACGAAGGGTCGGGCGTGTCCTGAGCATCTCCCAGAACCTTCCACCAGGGCAAACGACTGGCCTGTAGTGCTGCATTGTGGGCATCACGTGCACGGGCAGCTACTACACCAGATGGACTCAAGAAGGTGTCCACATCTGCTGCCGTGACAACAGAAAGGGGCGGGGCATCTTTGGTAAACAGGAAGTAACACTCTGTCAGTGATCTGGGCGAACAGTGGTTATTGATTGATTATCATCAATCTGAACAGGTGTAAGCAGGAATTACCTCTTAGCTGCTGCAGCAGTGTGTGTGTATGAGCTAGCAGGAACTCCACCCTCTGCTCCTCCCTCCTCCTCCTGTGGACTCCTGTCTGCAGCTCCATCTGGAGGAGCAGCTGCACCTCTTCATGGAGGCGCTCGCATTCCTCACGGGACACTCTGGATGACTGTTGACACAGAGGATAAAGTCGTCAGAGTCTGTAGACCTGAACAGGGATCGAAGACTGAATCCTGACACGAGGAGGCGCCGCAGAGTCTTACAGGATGAACAGCCACATGTTCGTCCACCTCCTTCTTCAGCTCCGCTCTCCTACTGTCTGTCAAACCTTTGTGACGAATCCATAAATGATTGTTGGCTGTGGATTTGGCTACTCGTCGTCTTTGTAGAAAATTACACACCTGAAAAAGGAAAAGGTGGTGCCACTTTAGAAAAAAACAAAACAAAAAAAGATACATTTCAATGTATTACGTTGGGTAAAAAGGAGCATGAACCAAAAATTGGAATAAAAAGAATACACTCTTTACATTTGAGCTCTTTGTTGAATTTGAGTTTTTACTGACAATAACTGTAAATGAGGTTTTGTGTGTGTGTGTGTGTGTATATGTATGTGCGCGTGTGCATGCAGGTGTACCGCTCTCTGTAGTACCACAGCAGCTCTCTCTTGTCTCAGTGATGTTCTGACTGTGCTGTTGTTGTAACGTTGTCTTTCTCTGTAGCCTCTCCAGATTCTCTGTATCATCACAGCAGCTCTGCGTTCACACTCTGACAGATACGACTGAACCTGAGCTGAACAAACCAACGACACAACCAGAGTTTCTCAATGACACCGGTCACACATATCTTTAATGAAATCAGATTGATGCAGGGTGTGTGAAAGTGTGAGGGTTTGGTGTGCTCACCAGGGGGCAGCAATTGCAGCAACTGTTTTTGTTTTTCATGAAACGCTCTCCTCGCCTGTTTACGCTGCAAACATATCTGACACACACACAAAAACACACACAGAAACACACAAAACATGTTACAGGTTCAATTTTGTTTCAGTTGGAATTTGATTCTAAACTTAAACCAGACCTCAGCTAAACTGCATGGTGTTAACCTAAGTCTAATCTAGTTTTACATGAGGTCACCAACAGTCACCTGGTACTTCAGCTCCTCCTCACACCTCTGTGCCTCCTTCTGCTGCTCCTGTTGCCTCCTGCGGGCTCTAACACACACAGACAAATGTACATAACACAGTAAAAGATTATTTATTTAATTTTAAGTTTGATGAACTGGTCCTTTAGCAGCGATGATGTAACTGATGACATCACATACCTGTACTTTCTTTGCAGTAAGCTCACCACTCGGCTCAAACTTTTGACTCTGCGTCTGGTCCAATATGAGCGCCATGCAGCCTGGATCACACATGCTGCTGTATGTTTGCGCTCACTGCTGTCCTACATGAATGAACAGTGGGGGGTTTACACCCTGGGGGTGCAGTCAGAGAGACACAAAGACAGTTGTTGGTGGAGTCAGAGAAAAACCCACCTGAGACAAATTCCCTCTTATGTTGCTGTTTCTTTCGGATTGCACCAGCCTGATCAGCTGATCCAGGTCCTGATCAAAACCTTGGCCTCTCCAGTCTTTGTCAAGAAGGTGGTCCAGACCTTTAAAGCTTAGAAGGAGGGGCTGCAGACGCAGCTGCAGCTGATCCGCCATGAGGAGAATGAGTCTGACCTCAGCTGCACCAACTGAAGACTCTGAGCTGACAGCTAATTGGCCGACAGCCTCATTGAGAATCAATAGGAGGGAATCATCGCTGAGGCTGGACAGGAAGTTCCTGCAGAGAGCATGAATGAGTGTGAAACTCATCAAAATCAGCAAATTGTATCCAAGTTGGACGGAGCTGCTTGTCCACTGAGGCCTACTGTGAGCATGTGGTGTCACTGCGGTCAGTCTGAACAAAGACTTTACAGCAGTGAAGTCACAAATATTTAATTTTAATTTATTACTGAGTCAGAACTACATTCAAACATGTGTCCATGTCAGTTAAAATCATTTTCTAGGTCATGTTTTAGCTTCCTCTCAGATACAGTATTTGTTACCTGCTGATACTGCAGGTTTGAGTCCACATGTTGATGCAAGTCAATATCACAGTGATGTCATCACACATGGTGATGTGTTCATAGTGGACAGAGTCAAAGACTGAGTGAAAGGGACACATTTCTTCTGTTAGTACATAAATCAGTTACGCAACCAACCAATGTATCGATCGCTGAGGGTCATTGATGATCAGTGACTTACCCTTTGATGTAAGCCGAGGGTGAGCAGAGAGAAGACGACTGACTGAGTCCATCACCGTCCTGAGCACAGACACACACTGACACGCACACAATGACATTAGCAGTATGACCTCAGCTGACACAGTAACATCATCACTGTGACCTAACACACAATGAGATAATTAACATGTCCTTACCCACATAACAAGCAAAAAAGGGCAAAGACAAAGAATGGAAAAGAGAAAATAGACTTGGCACAAGGGAAAGAAATAAGGACATGAAGCAGAAGCACAGAAAGAAGAAAAGATAAAGAAATGGTAAAAGATGGGAGAAATAAATTATAAATGAGATGAATAAAGAAAGAAGATGGAAGAAAGAGAGAAACGGTCACCACCTGGTGTTGTTATCCTGTGATAGCTGTTTTACCACAGCTGTGGAGTGACTGAGAAGTGTCCTAACCTCTTTATGATGACCAATCAGTTGAGCAGCCAATGAGAGGAGACTGTCCACAAGTGACGGTAGGAAGAGTGAGAGAAACGTCTCCTGCTGGTCAGCAGCAGCAACAACATCCAAACAACAGGAGCTTAAAAAAAAGCAAATAGCACAGAATAGTACATAGCACAATTACCTGAAGAAAATACTTATAAAAATTATCATTATTTACATATGTTATGGTAAATTTGCTACTTTTAGCTATTATCTTGGCCTTATCCTTATCTTTAGGCAAAAATGTAGCCATCCTTTCGGCTGTTTCTTTTCAAGATATATATTTTTTTAATATATATATATACTTTATATATATATATATATATATACTTTTGATAATAAATCAAAGATGACAGCAACATTTAAATAAACATGACAGGGTATTTTAAAATGTGTTCAATAAAATTTTAATTGAACACATTTTAAAAAATAGTTTAGTTATTAAAACCAGTTTCTGAGACAAAGACGAACCTGGTGATCTCAGTCAGAGTGGACAGTTCTTTCCAGTATGGCCTCAGTCGGCTGGAGTCCAGAGAGAAGATGAGAACGCAGTGAGACAGGACACCACTCAGGTACAGCTCTGACTTTATAGCATTCACAGAACTGATGCTGCTGCCGTTTGTCCAAACAGAAGACGATGACTCTGCTGCTGCTGCTGCTGCTGCTGCTGAGCTCAGACAGGCTGACGTAGATTCACACATGAAGAAAAACAAAGACATGTGCAACATGTAATTTAACAGACTGTTGTTTATCTCTTTTTTTTTTTTTTACTAAAAAACAAACATGAGCCTCAAATGTCTTAGATAAACAGGTATTCAGAAATTATTCAACTGATCAGCTAAAGACTCTTTGAACCAATTACCTATTTATAACTGGTTAATTTTGAATTTTCAATTCTCTTTATCATGATTAAATCTACATTTACACTATTACTCACTTGTCTAAAGTCTTAAAGTTTGAATTGAAACCATTTGGCAATAATAAAACAAAATACGGCGGCTGTTTGAGTTTCCCACCATTGATGCTGCTATTTAGCAAGAGGATAATGCGCTGCAGGTCCTGGTCCAGGTCCAAGTCCAGGTCCTGTAGCTGCTTTTTTAGGTGCTTGACCATCTCCATTTTCACAGTTTGACCTTTTTTTCTTCTGAATATATTTTGGACCAAACATCACAGAAGGTCTGCTCTAGTGGAATCACACATGCACTAGAAGAAGACATTTTCTTTTCACCCATTTGCATTTAAAAAGTAATATCAATTATCATTATTTTTAATATGGTTTATCAAATATGGCAAACATTAAGAAAAGTGTAGAAATTAAAGTATGCGGGAAATAAAACTGGAATTACGACCAGCAAGGACCATGACGTAAGTGTAAAATAGTTTAAATTAACGACTGAGAAGAACAGTTTTCATCTAGTCGGGATTTAACTTTACTCGAAAATACAAGAATTATAAGCACGACTAAATTAGATACATTGTAACTATTTAGAATTAACTTGTCGTAGGTTATTTACCCAAGTATCTGTAGATATGTTGAACCCAAATCTGAACGGTATTGTACACAAATTCAGTTTAAACTGTGTATATTAAGCATAAGCAAACGTTCAAGTTTTAAATAACTCGCTTTAACTATTATAGCGAAATTATAACTTGGCATTTATTTTGAAAAAGAAATCAACAATGTACACACTTGCGACTATTAAAGAACTGTTTGGAACCACATTAGCCACGCTGGCTACATCAGTAATTGTATTTACTACACGTAACTCACCAGTTCGTACTCGTTTAAACGTTTAAATGGAGAAAAGGGGGGAAAAACAACCATTGAATAAAAAGGAGATTCGAGCTATCACTCAGTAAGACGTGACGCACTGCTGTATCTACGGCAACTTGACGTCATCAGTCGGCGCCGAACCAGAATTCTTAAAATTATATCGAATATAGCCTTTTCAGTTTTATTATTAACATGTTTATCAAACTTTGACCATGGTTTGTGTTACTTTAATATAAAATAGGAAAAGTCTTTTAATCGGGCTGAAAATAAGAGCGCTGCAAAAATATTGGTTTCTATTGGCATAATGTAAACGAAATAGAAAAATAGTAACGATACAAATTAAAACAATAAATAAAAATTAAGAAAGTAGTAGAGTAGATGAGTATAAATTAAAACAGCAAGGTAAATATTTGTATAAAAATATATAGAAATTAAAAATAAAATAGTAGAAAAAAGCAAATATTAGCAAAACAAAATGCCAACAAAAGCCAAAATTGGATGAAAGCTTATAAATTAACAGTTACAGTTTCGAAACACTTTAGTTTGAAAAATACTGATGAAAATGTAACGATGTCCTTTAAATATTGCTGCAGTTAGATCGCGTGGCCTCTGAGTGGCACTGCAGTATCACATCTATGGAGTGAATCACACATCAACTTTCTTTCATTCATTCATTCATTCAATTGTTATATTTTGTGAATAGTAATTAAAAAGAAATTTTAGTGCCAGACCTTTGTCAGTGTTTCCCTACGATTTCATACGGAGATAAATGTGACATAAGTAAACATTAAGTAAAAAGTCAAACAAACACTCGAGAGTCAACTACTGCAATCACTTACCAACGGCAGCACAAACCAAGAGGATCAGACAGTGGTGATCACTCACAGTTGACCATATTCAACAATGGACAAAAATCAACAACAATAGATTACCCCCCATTTTACAAACAATTTAGCCTCATCCAATGAACAGGGGATGCAACTACATAATTTTTGGTTTGTGTGTGTTTTTAGTATGCCGACTTTTCTGGTAGATTGGGCAGCTCCCCTCCGATGATCACGTGATTATAGTAACGGGACCTTATAGTAACGGGGTGGGGAAGAGGAGGGGGCAGCTGCTGCAGTCCTGGTTCTGTGCACCCCGTCTGTGCCTGTGCGCCTGCGTGATGAAAGCGAACCACCAAGAGCGAGAGAGAGAGAGACGGTAACGGTATCTACGTGCTGTAACGGTACCAGTATCAGTACCAGTAACGGTGACGTGATGGTGATGATGTGATGCTGCTGCTGCTGCGCGAGATCACGAAGAGGGCGTAAGAGCATCAGCAGGAGCAGCAGCATCAGAAGAGGAAAAAAAGAGCAGTAGTGAGAAGGAGGAGGTGGAAGAGGAGGAGGAGAAGGAGGAGGATGCAGCTGCAGCAGTGATCGGAACCGTCTGTCAAGGATCCTGCACCGACACCGACTGATGTGAAGTCGCAGGGATGGACGGGTAGAGAGAGAAGGAGGAGGAGGTGAAGGAGGAGGCGCAGAAAGAGATCGACGGTACAAGCGAAGGATAGAGCTCCGGAGGAGGAGGAGCAGTAGGAGAATGAATAATCCGGTGGATGGAGGAGGAGAAGCGGCTCAGGGCCAGGACGCCCTGGCCACAGCAGGTAGGGACCGTTCCGTGCGTGTGTGTATGTATGTGTGTGTACGCGCGCGAGCGCGTGTGTAGTAGAGCTGCTGTCGCCATGATGCCTCCACATCCGCCCATTGACTCACAGGGGGGGTCCTCATAGAGAAAAGGATTGTGGGAAAGAAAAGGCCTGTTCCCTCATCTTCTGTTCTGGGATCAATGCATGTGTGGAAAATACAGCCCAGCTCACCAACATACAGTCATAGTCAATGATGTCGCCAGAGAAAGCACCGGATTCATATCTTAGTCCATGCCCTTCCAACCTACCCCTATGATGTTCAAACTGTGGCCCAAGGACCAACACTGTGTGTTGAATGATGGCCAATAGATTCTAGCTGTAAATCCATTAGTCATTAGTTACATTTTAGTTGTTTTAATACATATTTAGTGAAATATATAATTTCACTTATTCGATTTTAAATAATTGATAGAAACTACATTTCAATGAATAGTATTTAGCTAACTTCTGGATACTTTATTGATAACCACGAGCTCATTTTAGTTAGATTTAGGTTTACAGTTAATGGGTTATCTTTTGTCAGTTGTTTTCTGTTAAGGTTCGTTAAGGTTTTTATTGCAATGTTTGTTATCTTATGTGTAATAATTATTCAGTAATTTGAGCACAAGGGAGACGTGAACTGCTGGTCCACCGCTGCCTCCAGTGGCTGGTTCGCTTTACCTGTAATACTGAAGAAAGAATTTAGAAAAAGGAAGTCCTAAAATAACACATTTGAACTCAGTGACAAAGGCTGTTGTGCATTAACAACGGTGACTAAGAGCTAAAATCACTCTGAAATTCCTCTATTGACTTTGGTGAGAGGGTGCTTGATGGACAGCAGCTTCAAGATCTGTGATTCTGACAGACAGCTGATAACAGATCAGTCACTTTCTTAATACAGCAAGGACTTTAAATGTGGAATAGCTGAGCTTGCTGACATCATTTGTTGGTGTTTACACTCTGACTGACCTCCACAGTCGTTGCTAACTCTTTAACGCATGCTTTTAAACTCATTAGCATGAGGTTGCGCTGCTCTAACACCAACACTTCTGTTCTACTGCTGGTCAGGACAACAAAGATGTCACAGAAGAATTTCTGAAGACTGGTCAATGACTCAAGATGACACTGAAGGATTAAAGGAAACCATGGTGGATTAAGGATACTAATAAAATATTCAGGAACTAAAGGTGCTGTCAAATATTTAAGGAAGGATTTGGAGAGAACAGAGGACTCAAAAGGTGGAAAAAAGGATTAAACGATACTTGTCAGATTCAGTGTAACGTGACAGATGATTGGCTTTCTTTTTAAATTTGTATTTCCTATTTTTAGTGTTGCTCACTGTTTGGAGTGTGTATGTGTTCGATCAGTGTCATCCTGCTGTGTGATGATCTGACACAGTCAAACCTGCACTCTCACACACTCCACTGTCAAAGTCCTTCATAGTTAAATGTTTTGTCACACTAACCTTTGACCAGCTGTAGTGACTGCTGGGTATCGTCAGTGTCATCAAATGTAGAGCAGAGTCCTGATTGGCTGACAGCTTTCATTTAAGTAGTGAAATAAAAATCGTACCTTCAATTGATTTGTAAAAAAAATCTGATCTTATTCTGTCCACGTTCGTGTTTCAGGTTCAGCAAACACTGAGAGTGTGAGAGCAGCCGACGTCCTGACGGTACTAAGAGAGAAAGTGGCTTTTGTATCAGGTAACACACATACAGACACACACACAGTTTCCGCCCTTCACACACACATACACACTGGTCAGAAATGACCAGGTCAATGAAACAAAAGGTCTTTAAAATCATGTTATCCTAAAATTGGCAAAATGGTCCTAAAACACAGAAAAAAGTCATCCATGAAGTCTTATCTTCTAGATGATTTTAGACTGAATTGTCTTCTATTAGACCAGAAGACAACTAATGTGTTTTACCTGTCTTCCTGCAGGGGGACGAGACAAACGAGGAGGACCCATCCTGACATTCCCTGCCAGAACCAACCATGATCGAATAAAACAAGAGGACTTGAGTCGACTGGTTACCTACCTGTCCACCGTCCCTAGGTAGGTCCTTTGTCTTTCTAGGAGGACACTCAGGTGGCTACTTTATCCTTCTGAGAGGTAGATATTGACTCTCTCCTCTCATCTGATCTCATCTCTATCTTGTATGTCATTCACAGCGAAGACGTCCGAGCTCGGGGCTTTACCGTAGTAGTGGACATGCGCGGCAGTAAATGGGACAGCGTGAAGCCAGTGCTGAGGACACTTCAAGAGACTTTCTCCTCCAACATTCACACTGCGCTGCTCATCAAACCGGACACATTCTGGCAGAAACACAAGACTAACCTGGGCAGTGCCAAGCTCAGCTTTGAGGTATTGATCCCACACAACCATGGTACAGATGTAGTATAGCTGTAGTACCTCTGCTGAGGTCACTTTATGACCAGTTATGGTCATCAAGTCAACAAGTACCAGACTGTTTAGGACCCCTGAAGGAATGATAAAAGACTGATATAGTTCCTTTGCTATTTATAGTAGCTTTGGTTATAGGGTGTCCACGTAGAGGACAACTACATGACTGTTAACTTAACAATGTTTGTTTTTAGACTAGTCTTGTTTTACAACTACATGACTGTCAACTTTGGGTGACTAAAATGTTTGTTTTTAGACTAGTCTTGTTTCGGTGGAGGGTCTGTCTCGGCTTGTCGACCCCTCCCAGCTGACTGCTGACCTTGGTGGATCGCTGGAGTATGATCACGTGGAGTGGACAGAGCTACGTCTAGGTCTAGAGGAGTTTTCGGGAGCAGCTGCACAGCTTCTGCACCAGCTGGATCAGCTGGAGGCTGGACTGAACCGTGTACCAGAACCGCAGGATGTGGACGAGGCCCGCAAGTAAGACTTAGAATTTCTCAGTCACTGAAAAGTTTTCATTATGGACCAGGTTTAGGTTCATTGTTGTTTGGGTCTTGTATAGACTCCTAGAGGAACATGGACGTCTGCGGAACAACATTGCCACGGCACCAGTGGACGCCTTGGACCGTGAGGGCAGATGTCTGCTCCAACGGATGCGCCTGGGCCCCTCACACGGCGATGGGGCTAACGAAGTTAGCAGCGGTGTTGGCGGAGGGAGCCACGGCAGCTGGCTGTCCGGTGGAGCTGACTTCCAGAGTGTGGCGCCAAAGGTGTTGTCACTGCTAGAGCGTCTTCAGTCTGCACGGAGTCACGTGCTGCAAAGCTGGAGTGACAGGAAGCTGCACTTGGACCAGGCCCTGCAGTTGCACCTGTTCCAACA